AAGTGCAGGGTCCTGCACCTAGGCAGGAATAATCCCATGCAGCAGGACAGGTTGGGGGCTGACCTGCTGCAAATCAGCTCTGCAGAGAAAGACCTGGGAGTGCTGGTGGACAACAAGTTCAGCATGAGCCAGCAGTGTGCCCTTGTGGCCAAGAAGGCCACTGGTATCCTGGGCTGCATTAGGGAGAGTGTTGGCAGCAGGTGGAGGGAGGTGATCCTGCCCCTCTCCTCAGCCCTGGTGAGGCCTCACCTGGAGTACTGTGTCCAGTTCTGGGCTCCCCACTACAGGAGAGACATGGCACTCCTGGAGAGAGTCCAGTGGAGGGCTACAAAGATGATGAGGGGACTGGAGCACCTCTGCTCTGAAGAAAGGCTGAGAGAGCTGGGCCTGTTCAGCCTGGAGAAGAGAAGACTGAAGGGAGATCTAATCAATATGTACAAGTATCTGAAGGGAGGGTGTCCAGAGGATGGGGCCAGCCTCTTCTCCGTGGTGCCCAGCGACAGGACAAGGGGCAATGGGCACAAACGGAAACACAGGCAGTTCTATCTGAACCTGAGGAGAAACTTCTTGACTGTGAGGGTGACAGAGCGCTGGCACAGGTTGCCCAGAGAAGTTGTGGAGTCTCCTTCCTTGGAGATATTCCAAACCCGTCTGGACGTGATCCTGTGCAATGTGCTGTAGAAGACCCTGTCTGAGCAGGGGGGTTGCCCTAGATGATCTCCTTATGTCCCTTCCAACCTTGGCCATTCTGTGATTCTGTGTGATAGTCATTGAGTACAGAAATTCTAAAACATGTTAACAATTTATTTGCAGATTCTTTCAAGCCACCACAAAGATCAGTGGATAAACCATTTAGGTTGTGTGTCGCTGATGTTTTTAAAGGTGGGTTGTTTTTATAATATTTTTACCATCCTTGCACTGTTATTTAATACATGTATGCACAGATGTACATTGAAAAATTATTTAAAATATGATTTTTTAAAACAGGAGCTTTATTTGCGTCAGGATACTTGAACAGGAATAGTAAGCTTTCATACACTGTTCTTCGTGACATTTTAGGTAGTACTACTGAAGAAACACGCTGAAAAAGATATTGAGGAAGAAGAAAATCTAGATGGCTTGCTAGGTGACTGTATAATGAGTTGGTAGTTCTGTGGGACAGACTTTGGGACTTCCTCTTTTTAAAATTGGTTCTTGTTCTGTAGATGAACGTTTCTCAAACTTTTTCGAAGTGTATCTTTGAGCTCGTTTATATTCCACTCCTAGATTTAGGCAGTTTGACTTAGTCCTTTTATGTTCATTGTTGTAGTTGTTGGTGATGATAAATTCCCCCATTTTCATATTACACCTTTGTGGGAGGGATGAAGAAAAGTGTGGTGGTGCTGAGGCTCTTATAAGCAGCTAAGGAAGTAATTAAAGGTAGCTAGCTGTTCTCTAGCACTAATTTTGTAAATAGCAGCAACCAGTAACTATAATTGGTTTTTATTCCCATTGTCTGGAGGAAATAGACTGCTGTCAGCAATTAAGATTTTTGAGGTAAATTTGATATTTTTTCAGCTAAATGCATTTACATTTAATTTAGAAAAAAACAATAAAAACAAGGTTTGGAACACTTACCTTGTTTTAAACTTTCTGCAGCTCCCTCAAGAAACATTGCAAGCTACATGAGAGCTTATTTGAAATGTTATGCATGTTTGTAATTAAATATTTGTTACTTGAAATTACTATTTTAATAGAAATTTTACTTTATGTATTGGGTATGAGAACTTATGTGAGGACTCTCTTATGTGAGAACTTGCCCCAGTGTGTTACCACTAATTCCTTCATTAAGGCTGTCACTGTATTTTTTTTTTTCAGTCCTGTGATCTGTGGGAAACTATATTGAGACTATTGATTAAGATCTTTCAAAATAATATTACAACTTTTTTGTTGCAATAATCATTTCTGTGTTGAGTTTAATTTCACAAAACGAGCATTTTTTACCAAACCTCCTCTGGGAAAAAGATCTGATATGCCAAAGTAAACAAATAAATAATGGCTTTGGAAGGGAAATCAATTTACAAATATCAGGTTTATCACTTTAAATGTGTTTTTTCAGTTTTGTGCCCTCCCCAGCTTGTGACTTCAAGCTTAACTAACTTAGGTGCCACCAGAGGAAGTAGCTGCAGGTACCATTACATGAAGCAACAGTTACGCTCAGCCCTATACCGACCTGCATGCATACGCAGGAGGAGCTGTCCATAGAAGTATGTAAAATGTGAGAGTGCTGAGCTTACTCTTGTGTAGCCTTTCCTTTATTAAGGTTATCTTGCATGTGATTCATCTACCTCAGCCTTATTTTAGCTGCTGTACCCCTTAGCGCTCCTAATACTCTCTCCAATCACACTGTCTCCTGACCCAAGAGGTCCCTCTGAATTCATGCATCTTCACCTCTGCATCAGTCTCCACTTACAATATAATGCAATCAAGGGTATTACTTGACTTAACTTTAGAACAGCCTTGTCCAGCAGCGAAAAACCATGGACAAAAACCCCATGTCCTGGCAGAACCTAAGTATTAAGATGGATATAAAATCAGGCCCTTTGTTATGGCCTGGTTCTGTCTACCGCTATAGATTTTGTGCTTGCATTGATTTGCTATGGGAGCTGAAGGAACTTTGGTACTTTGCAGGAAGCAGTCAGCATGTGGCAAAGTGAGGTCCTAGACAACATACTGCTTTACCAAGCCAGAACTGGTGGTGTTAAAGGAAGAAGAATTATTTTTTGATTCTTTCTGGGGGAGAGCAGGGCAAGGTTGGGAGGCTGCAACTGGTTAATGACTTTGGTTGTCTGCAAATGCTTGCAGAGCCAGCTTCAGGTTCTTCTATGCACAATATCCAGGTGGTATTTGTACCGTGATTTGCAGTTTTTTTTTCTCTAGCATGTCTCTGTTTCTCCAGTTTTCTATTCTTTTGATGTCCAATGTCATATGTTAATTAACTATAGTCATTCATTTGCTGGAATTTATAGATGAAAATTAGCTTATAAGGTATACAGGTAATACTTTTCCAGCTAGATAGACGGAAGCATTCATCAATAATTGTAATGAATGCAGAGGAAGGAATTGGTAGTATGTGGCTCAAGATTAATATGACACACAAAATACTAAGATGCGTGCTTATCACTGGATTCTAATATTCAGCAAAAGGTCTATTTGCTGTCTGGAATGATAATGACAGTCTTGGTAAAATTACTTCAGAGGATTCTGTATAAACATACCTGCAGACGAGAGATGAGGCATTTTTTTAGCTGTGTACATATAAGTGGGTGTGTGTAGCACTAGAAGTACACAGCGAGTCTGTATTGCACATTTTTTAAAAATAATCAATTTATCATTAACATAATGGATAGGGTATTAGTTAAGTGTATGGACTTTCAAGAAGAAAAATGTATGTAAATTTTTTACTTGGAAATAGTAAGTCATCCATTATTACAATAACTTCTCATATTAGATGGGACAGAATCAATCTTTGACTTTCTAGGAGTAAAAGAAGTTTGCAGTTGGAGCTTCCAGAATTCTGAATCAGTTAAACAGTAAAGAGCATAGGAATTTGGGTCCATCTGTGAGAGAATTTTTGTAAGCTGTCTGTGGAATGTTTTTGTCTGTAGTTGTAATGAGAAAGAGCTGAATTAAGTAAAATTGCTAGAAAATAAGAGACTTAATCTAATACTGAAAAACTAAAACATGCTTCTTCATGCACCTACATTTGTTTAAAGAAGGATATTACTTCTGAAAAATATAAGATCTAGAGGTTTTGAATGTAATGTTTCATTTTCATTATGAGGCACAGCTGGCTAACTTGCAAATGCTGAACTCTGTACTGGGGGAAAAGCCTTATTATATTAAAAACTGCTGAAGGGCTAACTCATGATGGGAAATTGACTATGAAGTTATTTGAAATTATTACTGTGTTTATTACAGACCAAGGATCAGGATTTTGTGTGACTGGTAAAATAGAAGCAGGCTATATTCAGGTTGGTGAACGACTTCTGGCAATGCCTCCCAATGAAACTTGCACTGCAAAAGGTACAGTCTTCAGAAGCTTGTTTACTCTCAGGTCAATACTGGGCTAGAAGCAGTTACTGAAATGGTAACAGATTGTCAAACTGATACTAACTGTCAAACATAAAATGTGAAAGCATAAAACGAATTTCTTTAGATGTGACTGTGTCTGTATAAATATGTCTGAAGAGTATGTGAAATGTTGCGTGCTTTTTATCTTTTTTACAGCATCAAATATTCTTAATGTTATAGCCTCATGACTTTTTACTTTACTTCACGAAGAATCCATGAAAACATCTGAGCTCCACAGTTTACAGTTAGAAAAATATGCAATACAAGAATCATTAATATTCAGCTTTGCTGTGGAGTGTTACCACTATTAGGAAGAGTGAGGATGTTGAACAACGTTCAGAAATTAATCTTGCAAACGAGATGCAAAAACTTGAGAATTAAGTTTGTGCTGCTGTTCATAAGATTTGCCATTGAACCTTTCATAATATGCAAACTTTTTGGATGTAATTGTCTTGGGCGGCTACAAAGGAGCAGAAAATTGGTTTTAAAATACTATCAATACATTTGATTTATGGAAAGAGGAATAGTTAAGATATTAAATGTTTAACTGTTTCATAATTCAGCTTACTGTCTTTGTACCACAGAGTGTTTTTATTTCTTATACAAAATTACAAAATCAAAGGTAAAATGATGAAATTTTTCCTACAACATTGACCAATGAATTAACAGTTAAGCCTTCAAAATAAATCAATGGACTTATGCATCTAGCTGTTTAGCCTAGGTTCAGCAATGTGCTGATGCAGCTGTCCTGTTCTGATTTGAAAACCAGCTTGTTCAGTGCTAATTTGGGAAGCTCTTCAGTATGCTGGATTATACCTTTGTAAACATTACTCACAGTGTAGGGGAATATTACAATAACGAGACTATGGGTATCGAACTGCTGTAGTCACACCCCGTAGTCAGCTGTGGGAGTGGGGGAAGTGGCATGGAAGAAGATGTATTTTGTCTGAGAATCCCCTGATGATACAGTTCTGTGAATTTTCTTATGTGTATTGCATCTCATGTGGCTGAAATGTCGATGGAGGTTAGGAGCGTTAGTTCATTAAGCACGTACTTTTAGGTAATGTAAAGAAGAGATAGTCTAGTTTATCACACCATATTGACTAAAGGTGGTGTGCACATTAGGATTCCAGTTTTTCCTTTCAAGAAGCTGAATTTCATTTATCTTTCTGTGAGAATGATACATATATATGAAGTAATTATCCACACTGTTTAAAAAGCAGTGCTTAACATGCTTACGTTTGAATGAGGTTTTCTGGCATGCCTTGACAAGTGATTTTGGGAACAGATTTGCAAATCAGTAAATACAATCTGTAATGAAATAGAATCAGATCCTATAAAGGTGTGCGGGATTTATAAAAAAGTGATTTATTTATTTATTTTTGCTGAGAAATGACTGTCTTGGTGTCTACCAGAAACCTCAGAATGTTAAGTCAATGTCATGAGTAATTAGTTTTATCTTCACCTACCAGCCAAGTTGTCTTTAAAGCATTTAAAGTGCATCAAAAATCAGAATAAGATTACTTTTAAAGATGCTTTCTCATAGATACAATGTCGTTGTGAACGAAAGGCATCTGTTACACTTTTTTATGAAAGAGTCAGCAAACCAGCTTAAGGTAAATGAAAGTTGACACAATACTATTAAAGTATATGAAAGATGCGGTCTAGGGCGTGCTTGTGCATCAAAGGATGGGTGGGGCAGACAGAGATATTAGTACTATGGTATTTTCGAGACTGCGTCATCCGTCATCCGCTCTGTGTGACAAGTGCCAAGTCCCCTCTTCTGGCTTAAATAAAGCCATGTTATTGTGCAGGGTGGGGTGAGAGAATAGTGAGTCCTCACCAAGGAAAAAAAAAATGCTTCCTCAGTGTTCTCAGTTAAAAAGCTTTTACTCTCAACCCATTCATATTGAAAATTGATGAGTAATGGTTGATGAAGCACAAATGGCCCAAACAGAGCTGTTTGTTTGTGGCTCAGAACCTAGGTACTTCACTGTGAGGTTCTGTTCTTACTCATTTCCAGGAATTACACTGCATGATGAACCAGTTGATTGGGCTGCAGCAGGAGATCACGTTAGTCTCACTTTGACCGGCATGGATATCATCAAAATCAAGTGAGCAAAACTGAGTTTCAGTCTAAGTAACGGTTTGTTTTTAATGAAAAGCTTTATAACTATTACACTTCAACAATCAGCGGTTTACTTGAAGAATGATTTGGCTACCAGGATATTTAAAACCAAAGTGATGCATATCACCTGGCTTGCATGTACAAACGTTGGAAACATCTGCTATATGTACAACGGCAACTTCAGAAGAATACTGTTAGTGTTCATATTTGGCCCTAGTGCTCCCATTTGTAACCTTTAAAAACTTTTCCTTTAGACTTCTGCTTGGATATCTTAATTGCTTAGTTAGGTAGATCTTAGTTGCTAAATGAAATAAAGGATTTCTGAAGAGCTTATCAAATCATAAACCTTTCTAACAAAAGTTATCCATACAACTGCCATTGCATACCAGTATTTAAAATTGGATAAATTAATTGATGGGAAGCTGTTGGTTAGCACACTTAGTTTATTTTTGTTTTGTAAATGTTTTGCTGACCCTTTTTTAATGTATTCAATGAGACATATAGTAGATAGCTTTCAGTGTATATTTCAGTATGTAGGTTTCATGCTAAGCATAGCCTCAAGCCTTTAGGGGTGTGTATTTACTGTCTGTCAATTGTTGTTTAGGCTAGGTAGCTGGATTCATAAGTTGGATAGTTCTTGTATGTTTTAGTTGGACTTCAAACATCAAGCTTTGAAGCTGCTTCTTGAAAAACTGCTTGCCTTGGTGTTTCTGCAAAGTTATACTCTCTTTTCTGGGGGAAAGTATAGGATTTTTTCTGTGTTTCCTTTTCATAATGGTGTGTGTTTCTCTGTGGTAAGTGAGGAAAATAAACACTCTTCTACTTGTTGAATGGAGGCTTGGATCCATTTTTTATTTTGATATCATTTGTCTTCTTGGGGGAACAAGAGGTACTAAGTTTTAAGTCGTCTTTGAAATTCCATTTCATCTGACTTACAGGTTTGTGCTGTTCATTCTCTTTGGTCGTGTTTTTCTGGATGGGGTTAATTTTCCTGTAGTTTTGGATGATGGACATTAGCGGCTCTCAAAAAGCTGTGTCTAGTCTGCCTTATTGACTTGTAACTGGCAGTAGCTTTCTTGTGACGTGATTTATTAGAGGTAGAGATTTTTGGAAGTGAGTACTGATGAGAGAGCCTCAGTTTTGGCAGTCCTGATTCCTATGTTCCCCTGTCCAGCAAACAGTTGAATTGTGGGCAGTAGCACTGCAGTTTTGGGCAACTCACTGCATTTTGTGCTGTTGATCTGGAACAGTTAATCTCTAACAAAAGTCTAATTCTTCAAAGCACCCAAGTCCCAGGAAATAATGACATTTTTAGACGCTAGTTAGCAATGGATGTAATTGTTCATTGAACTAGACAGACCTCTTCATGCATACCCACAAAATACCATCGATGTTATCTAGGAATTAATTTGGCTATGGGTTTTAGTGAAGTGTTTTGAATTTTTTTAAAATTATATTGAAGTGTTGCTGTCTCTGCTCCTAAGCATTTATCTTTTTTCAGTGCAGTGATTTAACAGTTTTATGTCATGATATGCATCGGTATCTTTTGTTCTGCCCTCTTGCAGTGTTGGCTCTGTATTTTGTGATCCCAAGGAACCCATTAAAGTTTGTACTCGTTTCAGAGCTCGGATTCTCATCTTTAATATTGAAGTTCCAATTACTAAAGGATTTCCTGTGAGTCTCTTTGAAAGCTCTTATTTTCATTGTATGTGACTCAGGGTTTTTTCCCCCTTACCCTTTTAAAAGACACATTTAGCATCCAAATTTATTTTTTCCCACTGGCTGAAATACCTAATTCTTCTGTATTTTGAAAAGGATGTAAGGTGCTATTCTGGCTGCTCATGTGTGCTTGTACTGGCTTTTGTGATGTAGCTAAGCAATTTCAAAGAACATGATATTCCACCACAGAGTCAGGGTAGTCTATGCATTAAGAAGGCACTCAGTGTAATGGTGCACCAGATTGCAAGACGCCTGAAAAATTTGGTTCATGCTACAGAAGTATACTGACATGGCACAAACAAAATGCTTAAGAATGAAAAATGTATTTGTAATTAAAAAATGCATGTCCTTTTTGCCGTGTCTGTTTTTGCAGAAAACAAAGAGATTAGGTCGTAGGAAAGGTTATTGAATGTGACGTGCAGACTCCTGTGAGAAGTTTTATAAACGTTTGTTTACTAAATCAGCCTGAAAAGAACTATTTTCAAGTATTGACAACTAGGATTTCTGTTTATTTTAGAAAGTTTAAATAACTGAAAAAATGAAACTGTTTTAGGTGCTTTTACACTATCAAACCGTAAGTGAACCTGCTACTATCAGAAGATTATTGAGCATCCTGCACAAAAGCACTGGTGAAGTGACAAAGAAAAAACCTAAGTAAGTGTATCGAATAGTTAATAATTACATGAGGAATGGGCAGCTGAGTTTTGGTTAATTTGTGGAAATCGTGTAGGTTCTATTGTAAAGTAATAATGTGTTTATAAAGACATAAAAATATGCTTTCATTTTTGTATTGGTTTCACATTTAGATTTCAGAGTGCTATGCAAAGTTAATCCCACTTATTAAGTTATGATCACCCAAGAAGTAAAATGACTTGCCTAAGGTCATTTGCAGAATCAGGAGTGAATTCCAGATTACCAGCCCTCTACTTAAAGAAATTTCTTACATTATGTCTTTTCTTCCTGAAATAGGATGGGATCCCTAGTATAATTCTGGAAGTGGGTTACGGTCTAAAATAAGCTTTGCTAGACAGCGGGTCAGAGAAGAACAACTAATTTAGGTTTCTCTGAATCTGGTTTCTTCCCACAGTTAAGTTAAACTATGGGAGCATCCTTCTAGTTATTCAAAGCTGTGTTTGGGTTGAAGTGTTATTTGCTAGTGTTAGCTATACCATCATCAGAATGATTCTTTGCCAGAAAGTGCACAGCTAAAATTATCGCTGAAAGGTAATGGGAAGAAAAAGCGTGACTTTTACAGAATAATGAACTGGTGAAGTAAACGAACCCCACATCGTCTTTAGTCACAGGAACTGGGTTTGAAACAAGATGGATTTATACTAGACGTAAAAAGTAGATATTAAATGGGATAATACATTTTGAAACAATTTGCCAAATGTTGTGATGGATGCCCTTCTCTGGAAGTTTTTAAAACAAACACAAATGCCTTTTTAAAAGGTATGCTGTAGGCCAGTGAGTTTTCAGTCTTGTGGCTTAGGTTATATTTGAGATCAGCCTTGGTAATTTTAATTTCTTTTGGCTTTACAGGATGATTTTTACATTTACTCATTGTTCTCTTTTGATTAATACGTGATTGTATTAGCAACAGGATTTTCTGCTTATTTAACCCTGCAGGGTTCTGACTAAAGGACAGAATGCTTTAATAGAACTACAAACTCAAAGACCTGTAGCTCTAGAGTTGTATAAAGATTTTAAAGAGCTTGGAAGGTTTATGTTACGCTATGGTGGTTCCACTATTGCTGCAGGAGTTATCACAGAGGTATGATGCTTTTATAATGGACTTTATGTACTGTTAAGGAATGGTATTAACTTTCATGTAGCAATAAGTTTTTATAATTAAGACCTATTTGATTTTATGCCCTTTGGCTTAAAACATGAGTTTTTTCTGCTGAAAAAGAGACAATTCTTCAGCAAGATATCAGGAAAATTTGCTACAGTTCTGTTCAATTTGTTAAGGAACTTCTGAATGTTTTTTTCCTGTCTTTCCAGTTAAAAATAATCCTTCAGGATTCTAACATACATTAGTCTTCCTGAAATGTGACTGTATAAATATATCAAAAGTCGTTTGTAAATAGGTAATGTTGGCCATTTTTACTGTGGCTAGTTTGTGTTTTTACTATGTGGATGCTAAAGGTAGTTGTACATTTGATTCTTACCAATGCCTATAGGCATTTTCTGATCCTATTTCAGTGGGAGGAAACACAGGTTGTGGAGGTATATACAAATGTTTTGCCTTCTATTAGGATAATAAAATACAAAGGTCTTTCTGTCATTTTAAAATTCTTGTTATCGTTTTTGAATTAGAAATTAAGTCATAATTTTAGGTCTGATGGAGAGAAGTTTAGTCACATTAACCATATTTTTATACAGAGACTCAAAGCTGAGTCATTTAATGTCAAAATGGAACTAGAGCTTGACAATTTCTGGCTTCTCCTAATGTGTATAGGAATAATGTGCTAGGTCTGTCAAAGGCTCTGTGTCTTACGGTGCTTTAATGCTCTTAGCTTATCTGATCTTAAATAGGATCCAGAATTAGGCTTAAATCCTGCACCCATTTATGCTTAAATTTAACTTCAAGTGAACAGGATCTTATTTACATCTATGATTTCTGATGTTTGTAGAACTGGGGACTAAATAACTCTTTAAATAGTCTCTGGGAATTACTGTTTAGCACTTGCTTTTGTTCCAGAATTACTGTTTCAGAGAATTTGAGAACAGAAGGAATTACGTTTTTCCCACAGTTCACAATATCATGTTGAAAAATCTATGCCCATTTTACCGTTAGCACTTTCTTTTTCACCAGAGTTTTTTTCAATTTACTTTTGTTTATAGATTAAAGAATGACAGCGGTGCCAGAACTTCCACAATCCAACCAAAATGCAATCAGGTATCCAGACTTTTAAGAATCCAGTTACTTCAACTGAAGGAACAAGTGCAATTAACTGGGAGCAAAATATGATGACAAGAGTCAAATCATATTAGACTTCTGGGGAGCTCTTCATCAGTCTTTCCCACTGCAGAACAAGATGCCAACTGACAAGAAATTGTTAATGTTGCGCTTTCCCATTGCAAAAATCCATGTATTCCTCCATGTGGAATTTACCCCTTAAAGAGCTTGATGGAAACATGCTTAGAAAGTTGAATTAGAGAAAAAGATGATAAATCATCATGAAACAAACACCTTACTTCCAGCCATAAATTGTTTACATATTTTCTTTGATTTGCTTTTTTTTTGCTGCAGGTTAATTCAGTAAAGTAACTTAATTGGTCTAATATATTTTGAGGTTTGAGTTGAATGCATTCAAGGAGAAAAGAACTATTTACTTTCAGAATATAGCATGTAGTATTCTCCCAAGATTGTTTTTCCTATCCCAAAGTTTATTTAAAGTTTCTTTTGCTGTGTAGTGGAGCTGTGCCAACATTGGCTAATTTTACGTTTTAAAATGTAATAATAATAAAATAGCTTTGTCTGAGCATAATTTTTGCTTCCTTGTTCTTTTGTTATTTAAATACTTCTAAATTATGTTAAATCATTTATTGATTTCCATAATTCATATGTTTCAATGCAAATTTGTGAGCTAAGATGGGAAACTGACCTGTGACTTGTTTCTGTGGAATTAATTTTCAGCTCTTTTCATGTATTACTCCTTTGTGTACCTACTGTCCATATACATCTCTCTCACCCAGATTTAGTGCTCTTTTGAACACCGGTTGGCAGGTTAATCTTGGAATGTATACTAAAATCAGATTATTGCTCTTCCTTAAGCCTGTAACTCCTTCCCATGTTTCAGTAAGACGGCAGGCTAAATTATCCAGCAGAGGAATTCTTTAGGGTCCTTCTGCTATCTTCAGCATAAACCCAGGACAGGCACATTTTACTACAGCTTTGAAGTTTTTTTATAGGAACTGAGAGGACTACAAGTATCTTAGGAGCCATATACATGAGTGTAGTGTGGAGAAGACTATAATTTTGATCATAGCTTATAGTGCAGGGAAAGAACTAAAGTACCTGTTCCAAAGCGTCAGTCACTTAGGTTAACTGCAGTAAAGCCATGCCTTGAGCAGTAAAGAACAGAGAAAGCTATGATCGATGTTTAGTGTAAAATCATGTACTTGTGCTTGTCCATATCTACTCTTCTTACACTAGTGAGAGGTAATTCTTTGCAGTCACATGCTTAGCCTCAATTCATCACATGCATGCACCTGACGTATGTAAATTGTGCTGTGACTGCGGTCAACGTATGTAAATTGTACCTGTGACTGCGTGCAGGTATCAATGAAGTATCAATGACTGCATGAAGTATCAGTGATGCTCTATGCTGAAATTAATTGATGTCAAATCTTACAAATGAGCATATCTGAAAACTGTTACTGCCAAAACTGAAGCTGTCTTATGATTTATGCACTATTTATTACAACTTCTTATAGTCCCTAGATTGCATTTAAATACTTCCCAATACTTGCATGCCAGCCATAAAGGCTTCTGTGTTTGTAGGACTCCAGCATGCTGCCAAGCTGCTGTGTTGAACCTGCTCCGCTTGAACTTGCCTTCACAGAGAACATGTTTACGTTGATTTTAAGTCAGGGCACAGCTAAAATGCTGCAAGTGGAAGAATGTGTCTTCCATTTTAAGACTTCAGTATAACCCTTTTTGCTTGTGTGTAGGGGAACACAATTCTGAAAATGAACCTCCAATAACCCTTTTCACATATGAATGCATTAAATTTTGAGACTGTATTCTGTGGCTGCAGAAAAGCTGTTGCATGGTTTTTTGGTTTGTAGCTTGGGACAGAGATATTTCCCAATATTCTGGTTTCAGCACGTGGCTGCGCTACCTTTCAGCACTGGTCTGAACTTTACCCAGAGGCTCCAATTGGTTGATGAATAAATTTTTTGTTGGGCAATAAAACTGTATCACCTTTATTCAAGCAGAATAAAGTTGCATGTTGATTCACAAGAAGTTTTGTGGGTTGACAGTGGTCTGTGTTTTTTTGTTTTTTGGTTTTTTTTGGTAAGCTGCTGATTTAGATATTCACAATCTCCTGGGCATAAAATACTGCTCTTTTAAGATGGATGTGGTGTTTGGAATAAATGGGTAGTGCAAGGAGATGATAGACAGCCTTTGAATAATATATGATAGTCTAAAGAGTATATATGTCTTTTAGGCAACAGTGTTACTGGGTGCTTCAGGTTCTTGGGAAGTTAAAGCAAAACTTAGTTACGTGTAGCAGGCTGCTCTATAGTAAGGTGATTTCCACTGGAACATCCATGGAAGGATAAGTATGAAAGTCACTGTTTGGTTTCTTTTTAAAAACTAGATTTAAGCAGCGTACCAGAAAGGGTTCCAAGTAGGATAGCACTTCACGACTTCTGAGCATTTTTTAACTGAAGGGGCCGCTCAGCCTCTTGTATTGGTTGATGTTTGGGGGACATTCTGGTTGAAAAAGATAATTTGTTATGTTTAAAATGTATTTTTTTTTAACAGAATCACTATTTTTGTCAATACAAGGAAAAATATTGATGATAAAGCAGTAAATGTGAGCTACAGACATGCCAGTCCAAGTACTACTTCTATATGTTGTCTGATAGTAAGGGGCGGGTCCCTAACTGGGCTTGAGGGTATTGAATTCCGTGATATAATTGTGGCAAAATGACTTTCTGCTTCTGTACCTTGGAAAACTGCTACAGGGAGAAATTTTTTTGTCAAACCATTATTTTCCCCCCTTCTTTACACACGCAAAAGAGCTGGTTTTAAAGATCTTAGCTGGTTCTGCCTCTGAGCTTAAATTCTGAGAAAAAACAGGTATCACAGAAACAGTAATTATTCTCCCTTTCCTCTTTGTTTCTGCTGTTGTTGCTGGAGTTCCTTCCCACTTTTGAGTGAGCGATGCAGGGAAGACGGAGAGAGAGGGGGAGGAGTTCAAACCAGCAGTGCAAATACATAAAAAACTACTAATCTAAATTGACGCCTCTTAGGAAAAAAAAATCGTAGATAAAGCAAGCTGCTAACAATGTCTTCCTCAAAGGCTCTTTTAGTGCTGGAAAACTTTATAGCTGGCAAATTTGTTCCTTGTTCCTCCTACATAGACTCCTATAATCCGTCAACAGGAGATATCTACTGCAGGGTGCCAGACAGTGGCAAAGAAGAGGTGAGTACTATCCAAATGTACAAAAAGGTAAAAGGAGAACGTTAAGTGCAAATAATGTGGATGTTTTGAGTGGGAGAGAGTAGAAGGTGAGAGGCCAGAAAAATGCCTAAGTCTTTAATGCTCAAATGAGTAAATTACCACAACGCTTTTATTGGCAGTAAGCATAAAACAGTTCTGGAAGAGAGAAAAGGGTTGATTTCTTCTGTGAACAAACTCAGAGCCACTGTATGCAAGTGAACGTGTTCTACCATAGTATCTTGATTGTTTGCTGTTGTTGTTTAAAAGGATTTTGCCTTGCTGGCTCTTCCTTAAAGCATGGTCAAAACCTTCTAGTCCTTTTTCGTTTTGATATTAGCAGTTGGATATTAAATGCAGATGAGGAATTGGTTGCAATGAGCGTACGTTCCTCTATAACGTAGCGTGTCTTCTTCATCAATTGATAGGAGCAGACATGCAATGTTTTTTTAGTCCAATGCTCCCTAGTAGGATGAATGTCTCTAGATACCTTATATGTGCTCAAGTGAGGTAGGGCAACACGTCACTCATTTTGGGAACTGCAGTTTCATTGATGCTACTTATTTTATAATGGCCAAAAAGTATGTGTCTATGGTAGTGTTTCAGATTCACTGTGGCTCCCCACAGAAATAATTGGAAAAGGTTAGATGATACAAAAGACTTGGAAAATGTTGACTAATAGTGTCCAGCATTGTTTCATTTTCAAAATATTTTTTACACAAGCTGCTACTGTGTGTGCTTGTTTCCTTCCCTTGCATTTCAATCTTGTTGACCGCTTTTTTTTTGCTCCTTTCAGCAGAAACCTTTGCACTGTAATTTCAATTGGGTAAATATTTGATAGATGTTGATGACCAAGGGTTAAAGTGTAACAGGTTGGTTTTGTTAGAATACATTTGTGTTAAGTTCATTCCAACACTAATTATGCCTGCAGAGGCTTTTCTTTGATGTGCAGGTGCAAATCTTCCTGCTTATTCATTCATAGAATCATTAAAACAGGAGATCTGTGAGAATGCCAGAACAGCCTAACAAAAGCAGGCTACCGGCATTCTGGGCCAAATATACCTAAAGTAACAGGTAGGTAAAGAATAATGACTTCTTTTTTTCCCAAGCTTTCTAAGTTAGTGGTGTGCATGGGATCTGGAACCCAGTTTAAATGCCCATGAAGTCAGTGAGGGCTTTACTCCTACCTTTAGTCAGCCATACAAAAAGGGAGGGCTCTGCAGAGCTGATATCCACTGATGCCTGGTGGAATATGCTGAAGTACAATCACATACTTCTTAGAGGATATCTAGAGATTTCAAAATAAGCATCAAGGGCTAGGTTCAACAAAGCACTCAGGCTGCTAGTTTCTAGCAAGACTCAGCATCCTGTTGGCCTTTTTGGCTGGTTTCAGTGGAAAGTAGAAGGCAAAATAGGAATGAGTCAGAATGTGTTGCTAACCCCAGAATTTAACGCTAGATCGGCTGCACAGACCATTTCAGTGATAGAATTCAACACAATATTTTTCAAGGTTTTACTTTATCCCTTAGATAGATGTCCTGAGCTCCAAAAAGCCAGCACCAAAGCAGGCTAAGTAGGTGCACTATTACCTCCAAAACACAGGCTTGTGATGGCTGATTAGGCCTGCCAAACTTCCCTTTAAAGAATTTTGCTCCTCTTGCATCATCCACTAGAAAAATAGAATACCCTGAGAATGCTTTTTAGTATTTTGGTATCAACCTTTTATGATAGTTCTGAATTGTATGTTCTTTGGTGTCTAGTCTTTCATGTGCAAAAGGAGGAGGAAAGCAGGAGGAAGTGTTTCAGACACACAAGTTTATAGCTGAATTCTTATGCATGTTTTCTTTATGGCTTGACTTTCTTTGCTTTTTTCTGCTAGTCAAACTAAGTAACTGTTTAACTTTTGTCTTCCCTCTGAGTCCTTCTGTGCAAATATCTCTCCTTTTACTTTTTTAGATTAATCTACTGCCACTTCATTCCTTGCTCTACTAATTTTCTCTTCTGCTCCCTATGAAAATGCTACATTTTCCCTCTCCTTCCAAACTTGCTGGAGGATTAAAAGTGCAGATAGCTTTAACCTCACATCAGCCTCCTTCTGAAGCATGCAGCACCAGGTGGAAGAGGTAGTGAAGAAGAAAGCAGATGAGAAGCAGCACCACAATGGCACCTAATGACAGAAGGGTGGAAGAACAAGTTAATTAGTAGGGGAAGTATAGATTATTATAGAATTATTTTCTTTTTCTTTTGAATTCTTTTTCTTTACAAGATTATAGGTGTGTGTTCCACTAAGTTTCTCTTGAGAGCTGGGAAGCTCTCCCTGGTAGGAGCTTCTTCTCCCTCTTGCTGTGTGTAGAAGTCGGATGGCACCAGACTCCAGAAGCTCCTACCGTTCATACCTGACTCACTCAACATGCTGCAAGTCCCTGTCTGCAGACTGGCTTTGGCCCTGCTCCAGCTGTTCAATAGCTGATGGCCTGCAGGCTTTGTCACCTGAGCTGTAGGTTGATGAACTGTGGTTGAGAGAGTAGAGCCTAGGTTTCTGGGCTTGGCCAGTGATCTGTGTGACCTTGTGCAAGTTGGTTTATTTCCTGCCCTGGCCTCCATACCAGTATCTCTGTCCTTCCACCTCTGGCTCTTATTTTTAGGTAGACTATAAAGTCTGATGTGTGTGTGTGGGGGGGGGGGAATTGAGGATTTCCACCTACTTGAGCTTTTGTGCCCCCTTTAGAAAAACATCACTGGAGTGTCCATATTTATGGTAATTTTTGTGACATCTGTCACAATGTGAAGGAGCAATTTCGGAACTCAGATTTGTGGAACTGATGGAAAGGAATATTTGGTGATGGCATAGGAACCAGTGATGTGACAACGTTAGTAACAGCTCAGAATCATCTGATTTATATTACATCAATGTCCTCTTAGTTACTGGCCAGGGAAAATTTACCGAGGCTGAAGAAATTTATGAGTAAAAATGATGAGAAACCAAGTAGGAAAACAGCTTAAACTAAAAGCCCACCTTGATGCATTTGTTAAGACAGTGGAAGCTGTTAAAAAGTGATACATAAGAAGCAAAAATAGGGAAATAGAGCAGTTAATTAAAATATGGAAGGATGTTAGTAACCGTCTTTAGTAATCTGAGAGACTGGTAAATATCTAGAAGGAACAGTATGTAAATCAGTAGATTCAGATAATTTTCATTTAAGAGCCTAGAAGAACTGATTGTTGGGGAGAGAACTTTCTGGTAAACTTTAATCCGTGAAAGCCTAGTCTACTTCAGAGGAGTGCTGATGTTCTGCCACTGTTCAGCAAGGGCAGACTAAAGAACCATGGCAGCAATAGGCAGAAGCTGCATACATCTCAGGCGAAATGCTGGCAAGACTGGTATGCATCTACATGAATGCATCTGATAATCTTTCATATCCGTAGACTTTGTTAGATATCTGGTGAGAGAAACATCTAAAGTCCAAGAGTTTAGAAAGGAACTTTTTTTTTCTATGAGGACGTTAGTGGGTTTCCAGCTGTGAAAAAATAAAAATGTTTCTGATATGGTTATTCCATAAACATATTATCAGACCTTTCTTGAACTAACTGGGCAAAAGGGGAGAGGAGGAAATGAAAGGTTAGCAGGGCATAGTCTACTCCTTCCCCATCCCCTTACTTTTATTGCTGCCCAGTAAGTCCCATATGGCAAGACCTGAGTGTGCCTGTTTGGACTGCAGTTGGACACTCGATCTGGGAGGAGATTCCTGCACTCCCCTCTGTGAGAAATAAGTTTCTGAATGGGTCAGACTGGTAGTGCCTGCTGGTGCCAGCACTTGCTGGCATCTCTTCCAGGCCTAGAGGGCAGCACACAAGTTACTGCAAAGTAGAGCAAAGCAAGAGTTACAGGGAAATACAGTATATCGAGAGGAGAAACCCTATCCCATAACCCAACAAACGTTGCTGAAAGTGTCTTGAGAAGAAGAAATGGAGACACTACAAACAGTCACAACTCGGAAGCGCTAGTCCTCTGAACAATGTGCTTTGCATTAGTAACCTCTCAAACATCAGTTGATCTGCTGATTGTTTGATGCTATCTCTAAAGCTTTCCATGAATATCCACCATCCCTCCTTCACTTTTTTAGGTGGAAGCTGCTGTCAGAGCTGCCAAAGATGCCTTCCCAATTTGGTCCTCAAAAAGTCCATTGGAAAGATCTCAGATCCTAAACAAACTGGCAGACCTGATTGAACATGACCTGGAAGCGTTTGCACAAGCAGAGTCAAAGGATCAGGGTAAAAATTGGAACTGTTGATCTCAAATTTTGAGAAAATGAGTGCTTTGCTGATTATTGGAATTGTAAGAGTCTGATCCGCATTTTAGTATAGTGTGAACTGTTGGTGCAGCTTCAAGTTGATGTACATTAATTTTGTAGAAGTTGTCACTGATTTTGTGTTCCTGTGGCAGTCCACGGCTTGCTTTTCAGAATTGCTAAATGTTGACTTCAATTGTTATGTACAGTAGTACAGGGAAGATGTTGTCGTGGTGTATGCCTACGCTGTTCCAGGGATTACTTGGGCACAGAACACAAGACAGTTCGCTCAAAACTTGTAAGCTATAGTTTTCAGCACAAAGTTTAAAGAACGGTTCACAGTGGTGTTCAGATGAGCTATTTTCTGCCCATGATAATAGAGCAGTGTGCTTGTTTATGTTTCAGGCAAAACTGTTACATTTGCTAGGACAGTGGATGTCCCTCGGGCAGTGTACAACTTCCGATTCTTCGCCTCCTCTATCCTTCATCACACGACAGAGTGCACCGAGATGGCAGCCGTGGGCTGCCTGCATTACACCGCTAGGACACCTGTGGGAATTGGTATGGTGTTTCTGAAGTGCTGAAAAGCTTGGCAGGCTGTCTGCCCTGAGGAGAGCTCAACAATAAAAGGGGACTTTTCCAAAGCTAACTTTTACTGTCTCTGGATTTCATACTAAATATGCCTATCATTTATGCTACTTGGATAATTCACCTTGAAAAAAAATCTGTTTTTCCCTGGTAGCTCCTACCCTCAACATTTCTCTTGTATTTTGCATATGTGTCTGTGTACATAAGTGTGTGTCGCTGCTTTGGATCGATGGGACTTCCACAACTCTTAGCTGCCACTTCTGTTGGGATAGCTAAATCCCTTTTGGCTTTGAGGGAGCAGCAGTAGTACGCAATTGGGCTTCTCAGCCTGACTGGCATGTAGACAGATGTTTGAAAGTCTTTTAGTTGGGGAATTACTGAAGTCAGCCACTAGATGTTGCTGTTGCTTCACAGATAAAGTCACTGTGCTCAACGGAAGTGATGGAATCCTGGTTATGTTGTTATACATTTTAGGTAATTGTATATAAATATTCCAAATTCACATTTGAATTATTTTTTAAAATAAAATTGTCTAAGCTAGAGGACCCTTTTAGCAGTTTCCGTGAGCAATGGAAAACATGAGTACTTCTGGTATAATTGCTCTCATTTAAAAAAAAGTCACTCGAGTTCTGAAGCTCTGTTCTTGTATCTGCTCAGTCAAACAGCAAGAAATTGAGTTTTATGAGCAGTCACACCTGTCAGTCACAGCATGTGTTTCAGTATTTGCTACAAATATGTAAGGTAAAAATATTCCCAAAGGCAGTTACTAAATAAATTTTAGTGATACAACAATCTGTGGAAACAGCAATTTGTACATTAATCAGTTTGGCTAAAATTTTCCAGGAAAATACGCACAGTAGGTTATGGATACTCTTGTAATATTTAAATTGGGGAAAAAAAAAGCTATGAAGAGCAACAGAAGAAAGAGTGGGCTGAGCTAACTCACACTGCCTTACCTGTTACTGTTGGCTAAGAGTGTATACACAGGATATTACCACAGACTAACTGAGGTTTTAAATCGTTTGAGTGGCTGGCCTTGTGTTCATGGTCCTAGAAAACACTAAAAAGCAGACTGTGGATATAAGATTCTGCTCCAAAACAGCGGCAAAACTCATTTAGAGGGTATAGCTGATCACCTTCAGGATCATTTGCACAAATCTTTTTAAATTATTGTTCACGAGAAATAGTTTTAGCTGTGGATTTCTTGCACAATTGTATGGATGTAAAAGCCATAGCCAAATTCCCCTCATAAATCTGAACTGGTTTATGATTGCTTGAGGTTAGAGAACCAGATTTTCTATTGCAATAAGACTGAACTACTGTTTTTTGTGCTTTTACTTTGTAGCTGGTTTAATCAGTCCTTGGAATTTGCCACTATACTTATTGACCTGGAAAATAGCTCCTGCCATTGCATGTGGAAATACTGTAGTTGCCAAGCCAAGCGAGATGACATCTGTCACAGCTTGGATGATGTGCAAGCTCTTTGGTAAAGCAGGTAAGTCCCTTTGTGTTTAGGGATTGCGGTTGGGGTGGGCCTGCTTATCTGTGCACTCTTTTTGTTGTAGAAATCAGAAAGCATGCAAAGAATTGAGAAAAGATGGTTACTGTAGTTCTACTGTATTCTACTGTATTCTACTGTAGTAGAATATTGCATTGGAGAACTAAAAATGCAGTCCCTGTTTTCATACGATTCCATCTCTCCATTCCCAGCTATTCCCTATTTTTTTCCACTGTCTTGTGAAAAGTCCTAGTGTGTCTCCTTCCCCACTCCTGCGTTCCCCATAAGGATTTCCTACATCCGTGGTGCCAGCACAGGGAACCGCAGTAGAATAAGAGAGCGAGAATAAGCTGTCGGTTGCTGTATCAATGTTGTATTTGGTTCATGGGAACTATTAAGAAAAATTTGGAGGATAACTGCTTTTGGCCCAAGATAGAATAACTAAAAACTGAACCTCTGATGACGGATATCAGGCAGCTGTGACTGATCAATGAAATTGGCTTTTATCTCTCAACATATGCCCTCCAAAGTTATTAAACATCCTGTATTTCAGCTACTATATAAGTTAGGCGTTAATCTCTGTCACTCTAAAACTATTAGTAACTTTATAACTTCAAAGACAATGAATTGAATACCCCAGAGCAAAGAAAAGTATATGGTCTCTTTGTGCCTTTCTTCCCATGAGGAATACCCCATGGGGTGGTGAACATGGTGTTTGGAATGGGCTCCAAGGCAGGAGAAGCTATCGTCTGCCATCCCGATGTGCCGCTGATCTCCTTCACGGGAAGCACGCTCACGGCCCAGCGCATCACAGAGAAAAGTGCCCCTCACTGTAAAAAGCTTTCCCTGGAACTGGGAGGCAAGAATCCTGCCCTCGTCTTTGATGATGCTGACTTGAACCAATGCATCCCTGCCACCGTGAGGTCCAGCTTTGCCAACCAGGTACCTCCCCGTTCTGAACTGTGCTTACCACAGGAGCAAGGTGTGTGTGCGTGTTTGTATGTGTGCACACATGCCTCTGAATCCACATCCTAAATTGTCAAGGTATGTTTTACAAGATCCTGTCTTGTCAGCAAACCATAAGTAGAAAAATAGGAAATTGTCTTCAGTTTCCTAGAAACAGAGAAACAAAATAATAAAGAATATGCTCTTCCTAGGCTATTGGAAGGTAACAAAATGTCATTAGCCTCTCATATAGATAACACTGTATATTCCCTCATGGAAGTAGGTGTTTTACAATTCTAGCTGCAAGTTAGTATACTGGAATTAAGTTTAGAGACACCCGCTCCTGAGAATGTAGGACACAAGTCTCATTTTTGGGAAGTAGCTATTGGTAATTGTCAATAATATAAGGTAATGTGAACAGATACTGTTGTTTTTCTTGTTTTTTGGTAGGGTGAGATCTGTCTCTGCACCTCCAGGATCTTTGTTCAGAGGGGCATATATAATGAATTTCTGAAGAAGTTTGTAGCAGAGACTAAGAAGTGGAAGGTTGGAAACCCCTCAGATCCTACTGTCGACGTGGGAGCACTAATAAGTAAAGAGCATCTAGAAAAGGTGAAATTACATGGAGTTTAGCTGACCTCATCTTTTAGAGGGCTACAAAAGGTGATTTCAGAGGTCTAGGACAAGGTCCGTGTATTCTCAAAAGTTAGCTTTGAGGGTTTATGATTCAAAGGTGTTATAAGGTATCCTGTTGGTGAAGTTTCCATTGCCTGTGATCTGGTATCAGATGATTACTCTGGATAGAATCAACTGTATGTGTGAAAATAACTTTAAACGACAAACAGCAATTTTTGCTATTTGGTGTGAAGCAATTTAACATAGGTGAGCCTAAATCCTGAACTTAAACTGACCAATATTACAGCAGCATTTTCATGAATTTCGATATTGCATTTGCTGTGGTCACCTATTTGCCTAATAAGAGAATTTAATCCAACATTCTTATTTTTATCTCTTATTCCTTAGCAAATGCTGGGGAATGCAAAAACAGTTATTTAGCACTGCTTGCAGGAATTCAGAATTGCATATATGTAGAGGGCAGCTCAGACAATGCACAGCTAAATAAGAGTTTGCTTTAGTGGCTTATATGAAACGTAGTCCTCCAGGTCTAGTTTGGAGTACAGCAGTAGAGAAACACCCACTGCTTGAGTTCCTCATATTCTGCGGCGCTACAGAGGACTTTTGAGTCCAGCTTACAAAGGCAGTAAAAACAAGAAAAAGAGAAGGAAAAAAAAAAAGGTCATGTCTCTGTGGTGTTTCTATAGGGAGAGAAACTACACAATGATTTCAAAACAGCAGAAGTAGATGAATAGCATCTCCTATATGTTCAAGTAACAGTCATGGAAACAGCCTTAATTATTTATGAATGGGATCTTCTATAGCATTCATGGCTTCATCATCCTAGTGGCATGTAAACATTTATATTTCCTATGAGATAGGAAAATATAACTGATCCCTTAAAGTGAGTGAACGAACCATGGCCCAGAGTATGTGGCAAATTGCCCAAGCTCCTGGAAGAAGCAAGGGATGCTCTGAACCACTTCTGTTTTCACCAGGGGTCCTACCCTTTTGAGAATATGTAGAAGTAGTAGAGAAGGGGCAATAATTTTGCCTACTAGGCTAATAAGCATTCAGAGAGAGAACAATCATTTTTACAACGAGAGAGACCTGGCCTTACTTTTACAGAAATATAACAACAAAAGCTAGGGAATGACTCTGTCATTAGGAGGGAAGAAAAGGCAGTGTGACTCGGATGTATTTTTGGAGTCCTGTTGATTTACCCGGGTTGGAAAGATGAAATCTGAGAAGTTTGTGTCTTAGCACTGACGTTTTCCTGCTGCTTCCCCAGGTAAGGAACTACGTGAAGAAAGCCCAGGCTGAAGGAGCCAGGATCCTTTGTGGAGAGGGAGTGGATTCCTTGGCTCTCCCAGCTGGCAACGAGAAAGGGTATTTCATGCTGCCCACAGTTATTACGGAAGTCAAGGATGAATCTTGTTGCATGCAAGAAGAGATCTTTGGTCCTGTAACATGTGTGGTAGCATTTGATACAGAAGAAGAAGTGATTGAGAGAGCCAACGGTGTCAAATATGGCTTGGCAGCCACTATATGGTCCAGCAATGTGAGCCGCGTTCATCGAGTGGCACAAAGACTACAATCTGGATTGGTGTGGACCAACTGCTGGCTTGTTAGAGACCTGAACTTGCCATTTGGTGGGATGAAAGCCTCAGGTGTAGGAAGGGAGGGAGCAAAGGATTCCTATGAGTTTTTCACTGAGGTCAAAACCATCACAATAAAGCACTGACGTGTGTCAATGAAAGTATTTTAAGGTGAAATAAATGACAGTTATTTGAGTCACCATGAATGTCTTTCTGGAACAGACTGCTATTTTGGCCAGCTTTTTCTTAAACTCTGGTCAAGCAGTATCAGTGATGGCTGAAAACAGTCTCCACAGATGGTAATGTTGAATGTAGCCTTTCATGTTAGACAGGAAGCTCAGTGTGGACTCCACAGCTAACCTATCCCAAACCAGATGAGTTGATTGTCTCACAGATCCTAAAGTTTTTTCAATATTCCTATCTAAAAAATCTTTCCCTCTAAGGCAGACTGGAGACAGGATGATATACAACTGTATCTGTGGTTGGTGAATTATGAGAGACAAAGAGGCAAGTACATGGAGAGGTAGATATTGTAATGGGAATCATCCCATTTCCACTATAAATAGTAAGTTCCACATGCTAATCCATTTTACACTTCTCTATCAGACAAGGACTAATGCATTTGCCCACTAAATGCCTGAGGCAGTGTCTTTTAATCTATTAAGTTGTATAAAGCTATAGAGTCATGAAATTCTCATGACATACAGAGACAATAAACATTTTAATTATAACCTGCTTTATGGTATGCAGATGAATAATTACAAGACTTGTTCTTTAACTATTTTGAAATTACAGCCTTTTGTTGGTACTACGTCTCAAAGATAGTATTTTTCACATCCCCGAACAATGATTTGGCTAGAGCATAGACAATGCCATTCTCTATTAATAAAGGCTGGAAGTGACTCCTAAGAGAACGAACTATTGGAAATATTTGTCACAAAAATGTAAAAATACTGGAAACTTTCCCTGATTCATTTACAGATTTTTTTTTTCGCAAGTATCTCACAAACTTGTTCACATTCCATGAAAAAAGAAAGAAATTTGAATAAAAACCCCTTCCTGCCTCCCCCTTCTCCCCCCACCCCCTGCCAAGATAACTGCGTTGCTATTGAGGTTTTAGAGCAGCCGTCTGTGATTTGTTTTTCAGGTTTTGAGCTGAATTTCATGGTGGACAGAGCTGTATGGGGTTTTACAAATGCCTGTATTCTGAGAAGGGCTAGCTAGTCATTTGGGTATTTCTTAAGAGCTGTTGAGAAAGAAACTGCACTTTTAAAATACACAAAAGACTGACAAAAATTTTTACTGATTAGATATGTGAAACAATGCAGTAGAAAATTGCTCTGGTGCTCCTCTACACCCCAAGAAAGAAAATCATTTCCAGTTCCAATTCCAGGTGTCATGGCCAAGAAGCTCCATGGGATGGAGCCAGAAGCCAAATCTGCATTTCCTGCCTCTTTGACAGCAGGGAGCTGAGCAGTTCTGGCATTACTGGCTTCTTGGTGAATGTACCCCAGAACTGAGATCTGAGAGCATGATGAACCTCAACATTTTTTTCTCCAGCTTGGTTGCAGGGCAGTCCTACTGGATGGGCTGGGAACTAGTTATTTGATGGATTTGGTATGAATACCCTCAACTGAAGATGAGCTAAGAAAATAAATAAATAAAAAATGGTAGGCTTAATGATTTGGTGTCTTCTGAAGACACAAACATTTTGTCTTAAAATTCTGTCCAGCTCTATTTATAACCATGTGGTGGCAGCAGAACACTTGCTTTGTTTTTTAGCTCTCAGTCATTCATTTTACTACAAGGGAAATGAACAGCTATATTAGTGTAGGCTCCACTCTGCCAAATCTTTTTTACAAATCCTGTTTGGAGCAGCAAAGAACCCAAAAGCTGTGAAGCGCTTCATTAGTTTGGGGACAGGAGTTTTCAGCAACAGCAGATGGGATATTGCACAAGTAATAGGTTTTGAAGGATTCCTTCCCCCACAAGCACTCAGTTTTAAAGAGCTGACTGTTCTTTCAGGTGTTGATTTTGGCTTGGCATTAGATGAGGTGCGAGATATCTATATATCTTCCACATTTAGGAGGCAAATGTGTCCATGTGTCATCTGCGTGTTTCTGGCCCAAGGTAGCTAAGGTATTTTATAGAGAGGTGGAGTACTAGGTGGGGAGAGGACAGGACTTTGCTGAGCTTCTTGGTTGACGGGTATGGAGGTGGTGGCTCCTCATCCAGCATGGCTCAGGGGATTATCTCCCGGAGTGACCCATTCAGTCATCTGTAGTGTCCAGAGCCTCAGAGAAGTAAAGGAGGTTCTCTGGCGCTAATGATGATGCTTATATTTGGGCAGGAGGAGAGCCTGTGTGGTGATACCAAATATTGCCTCTATCTGCATTTTTCCATCTATAATGGATTCTTTCCTTCTGATCTTTACTTAAAGTGCAGTTGAAGTGTCTTATTTATTCTCCTATCTTGCTGTTTAGATGAATAGAGTTACTTATGTCTGTATACACACACGTATGTGTATGTATATGTGTTTGTGCATGTTAACTGATGAGGAGAATTCTTTTTCTGCCTATAGAAAAGGGGAATTCTTGTATTGCACATGTTTGCATCCAGTGTCAGGTCCTTGCACTCAAGATTGTAGCTGGTGCTTGTGGCAGTGGTGGCCTGTAAAGCAGCTTGCATGAGAGGCCTGCTTCTTGTAACAGGGGCCTGTCTGCAGGATTACTGAATTCTCCCTATATCCTAAATTTTAGGAAGCTTCCCATATTTTCTTTATTCAGATTGACTTCTGGTAGAGCAAGGTGCATGGATATCTTTCTCTCCTATTGTGCAGATTAAGTTGTTAAAATCAAAGAATTTTTCCTGTAAACAGTAAAGGTCACTACCGTGGCTGCTTTTTTTGCTAGATTTTCTGCTCTCAGTCTCAGTGTGCAGCAAAGAGGATATGCTGAAGGATAAGGCAAGTGGATCCCAGGCAGCAGGCTGGTAGGTCTTGTGCAGCTCTCTGGGCTGGGCAACCCGGAATTTTCCAACCCTGCGGCAAAGGGTTTTCTTGTAGGCAGCCCTGGTTTATGAGTGAAATCACGTGGCCATTGTGAGGATTTGTTTAATTACTGTTACGTAAACCCTGGAGAGTTGCGCCATCTGTTATTTCTTACAGATGGAATAAGTACAGTTCTACTTAACACCAGAAGATTATCTCACTGGCGTGAGATGATTACTTTACGTGGGTAGGTAGTCATATATTTGCCACAGTTTACAGCCCTTAGTTAGTATAGGTATTTTGTTCTTTTTTTCAGATCTTTTCTTAGCACGTTTACATCTGTATCCCACTATTATATAATGCTTGAAAACAGTTTTGCTTAGGGAGATTCTAGGCACAGCCTGCCGAGGAGGCGGATCAGTCCTAGTGTTTATATTCAAATCAAATTACATCCCTGTTCCCACAGTGTTTGTAACTTTTACAAATACTTCTTGTTTTGCCTAACTCCCAGAGATGAAAACAGAATTCAGGCTCTTGCCTTATTGGGTCAAACAAAATTTCCTGCTTAACTTAAGTATGCAGAACCAGAATGTGAGTTAGGATGGTTTTAAAACTTTAACTTTGAATTTCTAAATGTGAAAAAGCTATACCTTAAGATTCACCTTCACAGGCTGAGTCGGATCTCTCATCTTTAAGACTTTTCTCTTCCAGTAGGAGAAGAAAAAAAAAAAAATAAAAAAAGGAAGATGACATCCTAAAGGAACTTAGGACTTGTGAGATGTGGATCTTTGTCGGTCTTGTCCTCAAGGCAGTCTGGAAGGATATTTGCTCAACATCTGTCTCAGGTCTATTTTTGCACCTGAGTGGTGATGCTTGTCCTTAGGGTCCTCAATGCACTAGCTTTGTTAATTTAAAAACATAAAATCCTCCCTGGTAGTGCTTGTAGATTAGGTGAAGACTGCTAAATAATGATGAAGAGGACAGTCCTGCACAGTTATTGGATTGCTGGGTAAATTGGCTGCATTTTAATGCAGCTGAAAGTTAATTATGCACCCTGCATGTGAAACTGTGTGGTGCTGCCACCTCTTGAAAAGGAGCAGTTAAAAAGGATTTGGAGGTCACGAGGGAAAAAGCACGATCACTATGAGAATGCCAGCTCAGCTAAAGCCAAATCAACAGAGGAGACCTCAACAAGAGCTCCGCTGCATCATTGCAACAAAGGGAACCGGTATGATCCTGGAAGAGATGAGCAGAAGTGTACTGGAACTGTAAAAAATCTTTACCTGTGTACATAGTATTGCTCTCATGTCATGCATCTGTTTCTGATATCTTTTAAAGGATGTGGAGCAGAGAGAGGAAGGAGTAATTGAAATGTTATAGTTTGGAAAAAAGTTCTAGTGTGGGGCTTAGACCTCAGTCCATTTGCTGTGACGTCCTTTGGCTTCTGAAACATCAACTTTACTAAGATAACTTGGGAGAGCAGTGATTACAGAGGTCAATGAGGATGCACAAAGTTAGGCTGGCATTTGAAAGAGCAAATTTTGTCTTCTAAAGCATGGCAGGGGGTGGAGTGCATCTAACAGACTCCCTCTCACTTAGGGAAGTGACTTAAGCAGGTCAGAGCCTGGCTTATGATGCTCCACTCTGGCATAGGGTATCTTTAATCGCTTCCTAGAAAATGGAAGTGCTCCTCAAGAAGGGAGCAGAAGAGTCCCTTACCCTAGAATTCACTATAGGTCAGGAGCACGTTCTTTATGAAAGAGGGAGATGTGGCTGCGACCACTCAGTCTTTGTGTTTGGCTCTAGGAATATCTACTGGACCTCCCAGGTCAGCTGAGGTAAGGAGAGGGGCGCAGTGGGACAAGGCTAAGTGTGAGGCAGATGCTACACAAGAACCGATGCAGAGGCATTTCTGAGTCTACCACCAAGCAAAACAGACATGTAGGCAAGGAGGGCCTTTGGGCAGTTATATGCTGGATGAAATAAAAATGCTTCCCTGTATTTCAGAGGCATTGTGAAGTGCTCAGATACTCTAATGATGGGGTTGGTATAAGTTGCTATAAGAGCAAAACGCTTCTCTCAAAACAATGCTAAGAGCTATCTCCTGGTTCCAGAAGAGAGTTATAATTATTGACCATTTATTACGGAGAAGTAAGGACACATATTCATTCACTAAGTACTAAACATGTCCAATTAATTCTGTGCTCCTGAATTAATAAAGAAAAGAATGTGCTACCATTTTAGTGACTGAATTTTCTCCTCCTTTGGGAATAGTACCTATTAAAGTGAGCGTTTACCCTGCATTACAGAGAGATTTCTTGTTTTTCTCCAAGTTTGGCTGACCCAACACAAAAGTTAAGCAAAAGTCACACTTTCTGCAGCTGTAAAATAGCATTTGCAAGGGTTTGTTTAAAAAAGGAAATAAAAGAAACATTTCTTAATCTTATCTTAATTTTTTAAAATGGACTTGTTTATAGTTACTTGGCTTGAATGAATTAACTGTGTTTACCTGCTGAAAATGCAAGCTTTTGTCCTCAGGAGGAATGCCAAAATATTTTTAGTGGAAATAACTGGGCATCAATCTGGGATTCTGTTTGTGAGCTTGTGCTAAAATATCCGTGTTTTCACATGAGTACTTGTTAGCTGAAAATTGATAATTTCACTGTTGCTTAATGGTTATATTTCAGTCACCCTTTTCCAAGGAGATACTGGAGCCAGTTCACCATGAACAGGACATTGAGTAGCT